GCCCCCCTCGGGACCCCTCGCCCCCACTTCCAACCTCCTCGTTCCTCCCCTCGACCACCCCGACCCCTTACTCCACCACCCCCGCCCCCTCGACCACCACCCTCGAACTCCCCTCGCCCTCCTACTCCAACCCCCCTGCTCCCTGTCCCCTTACCGCGCTGCCTGGAGCACCGGTGGCTGGTGGCACTACAGCTGCGCTGCCCGGCTGGAGCTGGGCCACGCCGCCACTACACAGCACAGAGCACCGGGTCAGGCTGGGCTCTGCAGCTGCGTTGCCCCAGGAGCTCACAGCCCCGCTGCCCAGAGCATTGTGCCGGTGGCCGAGCGAGCTGAGGCTGGGGGGACTGCAGGAGAGAGGTCGGGGGCTAGCCTCCCAGGCCAGGAGCTTGGGGGCTGGCAGGACGGTCCCTCAGGCCGGATGTCTACTTCTAAGCCTGTTTGAATGAATGAATGTAACTTTGCTGCATTACAAGTGACAGAGTCAGCACATTGCAACAGAGATTTAATTCTCCAGTGACATGTCAAAGCAACTGTTTTAGGCAGCATTAGTTGAATACATTTTCAAAATTTTCAAAGTTGACCACTGATTTGGGATACCCAGATTGAGACATTGTAGGCCAGATTTGTATAAGTACTGAGCACCTGAATCTCCCATTGGCTTCAATAGGAACTCTGGGTACTCAGCACTTTCTGAAAATCAGGCCATAGGATGTTTTAAATTGGGCACCCAAAATTAGAGGATATCATAGTTAAAGATCCATTCCATGTTCAAACCATGTCAAAGTGTGAAGGTCATTCTCTCAGAGAGATCTGGCTGTTCTTCAATTGTACATTATATTCAAAAGCACCACTGGATGCTCTTTGGCCATGTTACCAGGATGCTCTCAAACTCTTTATTGACACCTGGGGGATGCATGTTTTGACTGTACCTGGTGGGGCCGTGGGGCCGCCCCTGAGATTTGTGGATTCGCAGGATTGAGCCAGATCTAGGAACTTAACAACAGGATGCCTGGTGTGACGCCATCAACCATGGTCACTCTGGCTGGTGCTACAGTCCTGAGTAGACTGTGTGTTTGATGATAGTTAAAGATGGAGTATATAAGGGAGATGGGGAATATTTCAGTTTACTGATTTCACTGTGCCTATATGCAGTGCAAAACGTGCTGTGATCTCATGGGTGTTTAACACTATGAAAATCTTTTTGTCTTAACAGGGAAAGAGGGAAAATAATGGAGGAAATCAGATCTTACAAACCTTATTTAAATTCAGTGCCACAGATTCGGATTTTGGTTCTTGGTCCAATTGGAGCTGGGAAGTCCAGTTTTTTCAACTCTGTGAATTCTGTTTTCCGAGGTTATGTGACAAGCCAAGCCATAGCAGGATCTGATAATACTAGCGTGACAACACAGGTAAATATTTGCTTATAATTAAACAACATCCAAGCTAAAGCACAGTCTCTTAGTTAAAAATCAACATTTTTTTCCCACTAAACGGAAAACCCAAAGATAGTCCATGATTGCCCCACTGAATTCCATGCATGTACTTGTGAGAAGAAAGGTATTACTTGATATGGATGAGAGATAATCTGGTGCTAAATATGAATTTTTTAGATATGTATTTCTATATGTTACTTTTTTTTGCCCCAATAGTACAGGTCTTACCCAGTTAAAGATGGAAGAGATGGCAAGCCTCTGCCTATTATCTTCTGTGACACAATGGGAATAGAAGAAAAATCAGGAGTGGGTCTGGAAATTGATGAAGTGTCCAACATAATAAAAGGCCATGTTCCTGATAGGTACCAGGTAGGATTTCTACAATTCTATGCAGTTCAACTGATATCCTTTAATGTTTTTTACATGTAAAAATATTATATCCTAAATTTAATTACTGTGGAACAAAATATCTACAGTGCTCAGTACATTCTTGCATATGTGGTACTGTACAGTAAAACCTTATGAATGGTGATCATAGGTAAGGTGTATTTGAAAAGGAATAAACTATGGGAAGTTTGTGTTTAAGCCCGATTCTCCACTGTCCTGCATTTTGTGTAGTCTTTTACAGTCATGTGAAGTTGATTTAAATCGCTATCCACCCTTCTGCCCAGGTAGCATTTGGCACCTACTTTGTTCAGGTACAAACCAAGGGAGAATCAGGCTCAAGGTATATAAAGATTGGAACTGGTTGAAATATTTTGAACAAAAAGGTTTTAAATAGAAAAATGGACTTTAATGCCCCTACCCCAAATTTCTGGTATCTCTTGAAATTCTTGTAGTTTTTCATGAAAATTTTTGAAAGATTTTTAGCAAAAATGTAATAATTTATATTATTGAAATGATTCTCTAATTTTTTTTTTAAACTGGAAACCTGGTTTTAAGGAAATGAGCAACTGTTATTAATTTTTTTTGTGAAAAAAATTGAAAAATGAAGAATGGGTTAGTTTGGTAAAGCAGAAACAACTTTGACATTTTGAATTTTTAGAAAACATTGTTTTAAAACTTTGTAAAGAGCAGCTTCCACCATATTCAAGCTTAGTACAGTGCCTTCTTATCTGGCCTTTTGTCTTGCCTAGTAGAGAGCTGCTGTCTATAGACCATTTCAAATTTTAACTCTTGTGATATGCAAGAGATGTAGAATCTGATTGGCCATTCAGTTGAGCTGAGCTTGTTACAGAAGCAAAGATGGAGGGCTAAGGTTGTTGTATTACTCTCATCATTGTAGTATCTTGGTTCCTCACAAATCTTAACTTAATCCTTATAAAAACCCAGCAAGGTATAAAGTGTTATTAACGTAATATTAAAGATATGAAACTGAGGAACAGTGATTAATTATCTTGGTCAAAGTTATATTGGAAGTGAGATCTCCTGAGTCACAGTTTTATGCCTTAACCACAAGACCAATCTTTCCATGATTTATTTGGTTCCACTTTATATTAAAATTCCATCTATAAATGGTTTACAAAGAATTAATTAATAAATGAAGAATGTTAAAAGCACATTACAGTAGTGAGCAGCATGTGTATAGATGGTTATAAGCACATCAGTAGATATTATAAGCCATAGTTATGGGTAAATTTTTGATGGACTCGACAACAATCGATGAATCATTTATTAAAACATCTGTTAATAATTTATTAATGCTTTATAGATGGAACCTTAATAAAAAGTGTGTTCAAAAACTCTATAGTAGGGATAGTCAATGGTGTGTGTGTGTGTGTGTGTGTGTGTGTGTGTATGCATGAGTGTACACACACATGTTACTTTTTTTGCCCCAATAGTACAGGTCTTACCCAGTTAAAGATGGAAGAGATGGCAAGCCTCT